TTTCTTGAAGGCTGCACAGATGTTCCCATTACATAAAGGTGGTAACCTTAATCCCTAATGATTACCGAACCATCTTGAACTTGTCCTGCTTAACAAAAACCTTGAGTGTCAATGGTGGATTAAAACTACATCTGGAGTCAGATAAGGTTACTATCAGAACAGCTGCTTCAGTAGACTACAGCATTCATGTGGAAAAGTTGCGCTCAGAGAGAACCTCAGAAATGTTTCAGGACTCCTTAAAGTCAGTGCAGGTGTTCCACAGGGAACCATTCTCAGACCTTTTGTATTTACAGCAGTAAGTCTGCTGTAAGAGGTAAATTTGATTTCCACTGGCCTTCATCATTAATTTGGTGACTCATAAAACCCACAGAGGGCCACAAAAGGTCACGGTCAGCGGTGTTTCACGAAGAGGAGCAGCCTGAAGTGAGTCAGCTCAGAGGGGTCAGAACTTTTTTAATGTTTGTCTCTGCTCTTCTTCAGGTTCATTCGCCTCTACGACAACCCTGCGAGCAAAGAAAAGAAGAAGAAAGAGGAGAAGAAGAAAGAGGGTGTGAGAAGGAGGTGGAGGGAGCAGAGGGAGACAGAGGAGGTGAAGGATAGTGGAGAGAAAGAGTTCATTGAAGCGTACATCAGCTCACTGAAGGACAGAGGTCAGTTTCAGCGCCAGATTCTCACCTTTTACTTTACAATTACACAAAAGTCTAAAATATGAGAGCTTTGCTGAGGTAAAGTGTGAACTTAATGATGACGAGATCATCAGAAATGTTCTCGTTTTAAACTGTGTGGAGACAGTTTAAAATGTCTCCACACAGACATCTTGTGTTCAAAAAATTTGAACAGAAAATTCAAATTTTTTGAATTTTCTGTTTGGATTTAAAGTGTATAAAAAATAAAGTTAACTAAATGAATACATTAGAAAACTTTTACTGATTAGTGATCTCTTCTTTGAATCATCTGTATTATAATCACCTGTTATTAGTTGTTTTCAGGTTTTTTTCATTAATAACTTCTAACAGGAACTCTTCACTGTAATATTTACTAAGTGTATGTTTTTCGTCCTGTCGGTAATCAGACTTCACACTCATAACAACCCGTCCTCATGTGTTTTGGGGGGGGGGGTTTGTCCCATGCCAGACACCGTCCCCTACGCCACCACCAAAGTCTCCATTTCCTGCCTGCTTTGAGGAAGAGGAGGAGGAAGCCAGTGAAGGTTGAGAGGATGATGACTGAAGGATGACAGCACTGAGGAATTTCAAAAGAGGATGCTAACAGAGGTTAACATGGGAGGTGACGTGAAAATGTGTTTTTAATCTTTCATACTAGCTCGAAATTATAAGATAACATATTAAAGTTTAGTCCTTTATTAATATTCTTTTTAAACTAATTATTGTTAAATCGTTGAATCTGGGAAAAATAAAATCAGCAGGACGTTCACGTAAACACTGAATGCATTAATCTCAGGTCATTGTAATTTATTTCAAACTGCATTATTAAAATTAATAATTAAGTATTGCATGTAGGATGCGCGTCAACTTTCATACATTTACATTAAATATTGATGAAGATAAAATCAATTCCAATTCCTGTTAATCGATCACTGAACTGTTTTATTTATGAATCTTTTTTTCTTTTAGTTTTGAATATGTCGATTGTCTAAATCTCTTCATTTCAAAATCGAATTCACAGTTGAAATCATTAAAAACAGACTGAAGCCGATTTCTTTGGGATCCTGAGCAGATTTGATTTTTATGCACTTTTACATTTCTCACATTTATCAGCTGATGTTTTCTGTGTAAATGTAGTTTTTTGTTCAAAGTGTGAAAGTTGTGACCAAATAGAGATTTTCTGTTTATCAGGTTTGATTTCTATGATTTCTTTTAGTGTATTTTTCTGTGGTTGTCATAGTTACAAACTTAGCAGCTTTGATTTGTGCATTAAAATATAGAAAAGTTTTTGCTGTTTAAAAAGTTTTTTTTTTTTTTTAAGTTTCTGTAAAATGGAGAAAAACGTTTTTGTATTTGTGAATTTTACTGAAGCTGCTTCGATTCAGACGTTTGTGATTTAATTTTTATTTAATGTTTGTAAAAACACATTTTTCAATAATGGGCGCATTTTTGACAAACTTTCTAATTTAAATAAACTGAAGTTTAATTTGGTCGATCTTTAATCAGAACACTTCATGTTGTCTGTTGACCAAAGTAACGTACGAATGCTTCAGAGAGCTGAGCATGAACGAACTGAAGCACTGATGATGTCACACCGACAAACCGACAAACCGCTGCATCGTTAGGTGGACTTTGTATATTTATAAAGGAAATGTTGGTTTTTTAATTCTCGAATTTAGAGTAAAGAAGAAAAAATAACAAGGAAATAAAATGCAAAACAAATACTCACTTTTCTTTGTTTTAATCAATAAAAAATTAATTTTTAAATAAAAAAAAAAGTCAAATTAAACTGAATAAAAAACACACATTTCAAATGTCACACGTTTCTCTTTATTGTTATTAATATTCACGTTATCATAGATATTATTCAAAATTATGTTCTTAAGATAAAAGAGCAAAAGCAAAATACGTGACACGTCTCTCGGTTTAAATATAAAAGTGATATGAACACGAGTGATTCAGGCACACGTTCAGAGAAATTAAAGTGCAGCAATCAGCAAAAGGTCTGCACGGAGGAGGAAGAGGAGGAACATCTGGGAATGTCTGTCAGTCTCTGCGGCGGCCATGTTGGCGCGTCAGCCTTCACGCCTCACCGTAAAAGAAGAAAAAGAAAAAAAAGCCTCTGAGGAGGATTTACAGCCTCCATCGTCTGTGTGACCAAACACAAGCCGACATTTAAAAACGTCACGTTTCACTTCATGAACAGTTTCGGAGAATCATCAACGGGGAAATTCATTAAAAACTTTATGACACGATGACGACGTGATGGAGCGACTCGCTCTTAATCATGGAGTCAACAATCAGCCGCCCTAATCTCCAGAATATTCATCTCATCGTCAGATTTAACAGAAAAGCAGGAAGAATGACTGAGTCATCCGGCCGGATCACTAAATCTAGGTTCTGAATTCCAACATGAAGGACACAAATTTGTGAACTTAAGACAAAAAAAAATTCCAATGATCCAGTTTTAAATTGGACTGAGTCTAAAGAATATTCCAGACAGAAAGACATTCAGTACTCGGAGAAACTACTGTGGGATGCAAGACTCTCCACGAGGCATTTGAGGACACTCGGTGAGCATAGGAAAATGAACCATCTGACATCATCGGCAAGTGGGCGTTAAGGGTTAAAAGGTTAAAGGTTATTAAGCCGAGAGCTTCTCTAACAGTCGATTGTGCTTCTGAGCTACATCATCATCATCAACGTCACAACAGGATGATCAGGCGTTCCTGTAGCCATGACAACGTTCATGCTGCATTCAGGGGAAAAAAGGAAAAAAAAGGAAGAACTACCACTCAAAGGTGACGTCATCTGTCAGAGAACCTTTGGTCACTTTAAACTGTCAAAAACGATCATCTCCCACACAGAAACAGAGCCTGAATGCAGCACGAGTGATATTCCACTTACAGTAGCCGAGCTGTGCAGGTAAACGCACCTGACCTGTGCTCTGGTTCACAAGATCATTGATTCATTGATCTGTCTTTAAGCAACAGCTGGAGCCCCACATGTGCTCTTAAACTGGTTTCACTGGTTCAAACTGGACATGAAGAGACCTCCAGGACCGCCGGAGCTCTGTGCACAAAAATACATCACATGAACCCATCATGAAGGCTGAAGCTTTAAGGGGCAAACGTGAGAACCTGCACAGCGCGCACATGCGATGGTTTTTAACCTGAACTGGGAGAAAACTCGACTTAAACGACTGATCTGTTGACCTTCTGAGAAATACAGCCTGTAACAAAAAGGCAAAATAAGCACAAAAGAGTAATAAAACACGGCACCGGTTGGTTTGTGAGCAGCCCGCCTCGGGACCGCCAAGGTTCAAACTGCATCAGTAACTTGGAGCGTTTGATTTGTCCGACCTGGAAGGGGCAGGCGGACGGGGAGAGCACTTTCAGGTCAAACAGAAACAAACTTCAAGTATTAAAACAGAAGAAGAAGACGAGGAGTAGGAGGTGGTGACCCGCAGAGGCTCAGATTGTGGGAGGAGCAATGGCAAAAACTAGGTGGTGCTCTCTGTCCTTAAAGCCATCACTTGTCACTGCGGCTCAGAGAAAACTCGGTTTTCAGTGAAATCGTTGATATTAATTTGATCCACGCTGTAAAAACTCCAACCCTGCAGACTTCGTCCAGCTTTAGGCTATAAAACAGCAGTACAGCGCCCTCTACAGGATGGGAGGAGGCAAAACATGAGACCGTCTGTAGGGCGGAGGTTTGAAATCAGGGCTGAGAAAAATGAAATAAATAAATAAATACATGAAATGCATTTAAATGTTGATTTGAAGTCAAACCGAGTCCCGTTTACTGGATCAACACAGGAAAATCTACACTGAAACAAAACGACCACACCTGCAGCTCAAAGCAAAAACGCCACATTAGTAAATTAAAACTATTAAACTGGGAGACCAAATGATGAAATAATGAGGCGGAGCTAAATGACGCCTCCAGCTTCACGCCGTTTATTTACTCGGATTTCTCCCAAATATGCAAACTCCTGACGGGAGAGGGCAATGACATCATAGCCAGTCAGTTTGCACATGCTCTGTGTGACGGGAAGTCTGAGCGCAAATAGATCCAGACAGAAAACAAACACCTGGATCTCATCATGATTTGGTATCGTATCCCACAATCCCGAGCAGCTCCAACCTCCTCGTCCTCGCCAAGATTCGCCCTCCGATCCAAAAAACAACCCCCCCCCATAAAAAAAAAACAACAACGTAGTTTTGAGTGTCAGCTTTCACGGCCGTACAGCGAGGAGCATTTGATGGCCTCGCCTATGCGAACCTGACGGGTGGAGTCAGGTACAGACCTGACTGACAGGTATGGGAGGCTGCTGTCAGTTGCTTTGGCTTCTCTGGTCCCGTCCTCGCTGCGATTGGCTCGTAAAGTAAAACGTTGCGATCCTGCACGACTACACGACCACTTTACTTCTGCTGATCTGTTTTAACAGAGAGATCTCGACTCTTACTGAGGCAAGACTTCAAAGCCCTTTGGTTCTACCTGCCCAAACACACCTGGGCAAAGGATGGGAGGAGTCACAGGTGAGTGATATCAGTGAGATAAAAAGCGGTTTGCCGGGGAGGCCGCCGCCTAACGTTCCCCGACGGTCTGGATCGGGGGAAGAGAGGGTTTGTTTGTTTTTTAACAGGGGGAGGGACTTGCATACAAGACTCTGTTTTGTAATTGGCCAGACTGCCTACGAGTCACATGACACTGTCCTGCAGCAGCGGCTCGAGGTCCTCTGTGTCGCTGATGGGCACGGCAAGAGGGCTGCCGTTCTGAGCGTGTGCGGCGGAGCTGCTGCCGGCCTTGTTGGCGGTGCAGGTCTTGACTTCGGCCAGCTGGTGGCGCTCAGGGATGAAGAAGGCGACAACTAAAGCAAATATGACGCTGCACGCGCCGAAGAGGAAGGGCGGGCCTGGGACGACCAGCTTCTACAGACGGAGAGAGAACCGACTCGTTACGGGAAACAGAACAGCGAGGAAAGAATCAGCAAGGCGCATTTCTACGCACCTGTGTGCTCGCTGTGGATCTTCCTGCCATCGGCTCCACTTCGTTCAGCTCCACGTTGAACAGGAAGAAGATGAAGCCGTAGAGAGCCGGGCCCAAACCATTGCACAGGCCTCTGATACCTGTGATCATCCCCTGTGCCACACCTGAACACACAGACGCCTCAGTCACATCTGCACCACCTTCATCCATGTGACACAGTCAGATGTTGATACAAACCACGGCCACACAGACCCTGTTTAAGACACGCCCCTTCGGACGGTCAGGTTCGACTCACCTTGCTGGTCGGGTGAGGCGCTGTGTGACACCAGAGCAGAGATTGCTGGGAAGGTGATCGAAGACATGGCCGCTACAGTTCCTGCTGCCCACATCATCCTGTAAGGACGCGAGCAGATAAACGTTTAGGTCAGATCATTCACAGGAAACAGGAAACGACACGGGCGAGACGCTGGGACTCACCACGGCTCGGAGCCGAAGCCGTACCAGACCAGCTGGAACAGCTGAAAGGCCAGGCCGAGAAGAACCGTGTTCTTCTTACCGATGGTCCTCATCAGAACTCCGAAGAAGACCGTCTGACAGACACGAGACGTACGGTGAAGAAATCAGGACGCAACACATTTACAGGGTTTAAAAAGACAAACTCGTCTGTGAGGGGTTACCGCAGCTTTTCATGTCAAACTAAACGAACAAACCTGAAACAAACTCTGTGACGTCAGCACGCATTTAGAGTAAAAACAAAACAAAGAAATCACACTTTGAGGGCTTTCAGCTGAAGACGCTCCACGGCACCGTCTCCCACTCGGAACAACACGGGCGTTAGTCGTTTTTAATACGATGCTCCCGGACTAACAGGGACCGCTGGATATTGGACTTCCTGTTACCACCCCCTGTTGGATCAGACTCTCTCGCTGACCGTGTAGAGTTACAGTCGGTCCCCATCTTTCCTCAGCCCCCGACTCTACACTCTGGGCACACATGACTGCGTCAGTACCCACCCAGATGATGCCACCATGGTGGGCTCATCTCTGGAGGCGACCTACAGAGCTGAGGCATTAATGCACAGTGAACACTCATTCTTTAATTTATTCTTCACATCTTTTCTCCACTTTACAAGTTTACTGCATTGTGTTGAGTTGCGCTCGCTGCCGACGTGGGACAGTTTCACTGTACTTCTGTGCTAAAGATGACGGTGCAATGACAGTAAGGAGTCATCTTATCTCAAAGAGACGCGCGTGCAGCCACAGCAGGTTAACAGTTTCAGGATTGTTTCTCTCTAA